ATAAAGTATTTACACACTGTGATCAAGTCATCTCTGAGCCTGCTCTTGTAAAGCAAAATACACTAGGCCTATTTAGTCTATCATTATAAGCAAATGATCACTTTTGGCCTTAAAAAAATCTATTCCTTTTTGACATGCATCTGATGAAGTGGGTCTTTGCCCATGAAAGTTTATGCTCGAACACTTCAGTTAGTCTGTAAGGTGCCACAGGACTCCTTGCTGCTTTTTGATACTGAATGAGCGATTAAATTCCTCGGGCTGAGTTTGTATAGATGATGATGCATGTAAATTTCTACTGGAGTGCGGACTTGTCATTTAGTCTCAATCATACTCTCGAAAAGAACATTCTGAAAATCTGATCATTCTTGTCACCTCTCTTTGTGATCAGAACGTGCTGATTTTATTTAGAAAACAATGCACGGCACAGTCCTGGTACACTCCCCCTGTATATTGTTTTCTGCATACAGTGAACACACACGAATGGCAGGGTGAGTATTTAAGAGGGTGTTTGCAGTTAAAATTATAAACATGCTTCCTTTAACATCCAGAATTCCCTCTGAACCCGGGTCTTCCCAATTTCCCCACATCATCAAACCTGCATAAGTGAAAGCTTTCCAGCAAAAGTAAGCTCTGGTCCTTAAGCTTTCAGAAAGGTACCACAGAACAGGAGACTAATCAAATTATCTGAATATTTGGGATTCCTTAGGACTAGAAGGCAAACCCTCATGACTTAACGCACAATGCAGACTGTAAACATGCACTGGGTTATTGTCAGTGAAGTAAGCCTGACTCTTCAGAGCCTGGGGACAAAAGCAATTCCAGCTATTTATGATGTGGTTAGTAAAACTCTTATTCAGTCTGTGGTTGACCCTGACTCTGGGGCAGCATCACAGGAGAACTCTTGGCATGAGACTGCACAGTTGCACTATGTAATTAGGCACATTCAAGCTCCTTTTCAGCATCATGCCACCCCAACCCCCCTTTTTCTTCCATGAACATTCTTGCCGTCTCTCCCCAAGGTGAAACTCTGGTGACAGGCAGCAGGGGATTGTCAGTGGAGCTTGGAATTCCATCTCCTGTGCAGCCCCATGGAGCCAAAGGTTAGATCTCAGTGGCTTTTTAAGGTTGGTCAGGACCCTTGGAGACCTTTAGAGTTTGGGGTGAGCCATTAATCCAGCTTTTGGGGCAAGGAATTTATTGTATTAAGGATCCCTGTCCCCCTGGCCGAGCCCTTGTGCTGCATGGCTGAAAATGGCCCATATTGTTCAGCCACTAGTTTTGTTTCTCTATCATGCATATGTCCAAATGCTCCTTAATGGTACATAATGCGTTGATATATAAATACAAATCTTAATAACACTGCAATGTAGGTTTCCTGTTGCTGTTTGAGTTTGTCCATGACCTGGGGGCAATATTCCGGAGCTTGCTCCAAACCCACCTTTGGGTTTCTCTCCAATACGCTAATGCCACCAAGCAACAGAAAGAGTCAGGAGGCCTTTTTCTAAGGGGTCTTTTGGGCATATGGCTCAACAGAGTAGATAAGAGGGAGCTGGTGGTCTGTGAGTCAGTGGTCGGTGTCTTGAGGGCTCTAGTGGCTTGTATGGAATTAACTCTCTTTTTTCTCAGTCCTCTTCTATTCCACCAAGCTGTCAGTCAGGATCGAAACCCACTTCCCTTCTCCCTCCTTCAGAATCTCAGCAGAGCCTGGAGACATCTGAGAAACGGAGAGAGAGATGGGAAGAGAGGCAGCAGAGGAGGCGCAGAATAAAGCAGCGCTCCATCAGCAAGGAGAAGTGGGTGGAGACGTTGGTGGTAGCAGATCCCAAGATGGTGGAATATCACGGAAGTGAACATATAGAAAAGTATGTGCTGACCGTAATGAACATGGTGAGTGCTGAGTTCCATGACCGTTAAATCCATGAAATCCATTGGTGTCCTTGGAGGCTTAAGTAGAGACCACACAGTGGCATCTATACAGGTGATTGGACTTTCCAGGGTTCAGCCTGTTGCCTGCACAGGGGAGAACATAAGAACAGCCAGGCTGGGTCAGACCTAAGGTCCATCTAGCCCAGTGTCCTGTCTGCCCACAGTGGCCAGTGCCAGGTGCTCCAAAGGGAACAAGGAACAGAACAAGGAATCAAGTGATCCCTCCCTTGTAATCCATTTCCAGCTTCTGGCAAACAGGCCTTCAACACCATTCCGACCCATCCTAGCTAATTAGTAATAGCTATTGGTGGACCTGACCTCCATGAATCTATCTAGCTCTTTTCTGAGCCCTGTTATAGTCCTGGTCTACACAACATCCTCTGGCAACGAGGAAAGTTATGGCTGATCAGTCATGGTCTTATAGAATACTAGAATGGGAAGGGACCTTGAGAGGTCATCAAGTCCAGTCCCCTGCCCTCACAGCAGGACTAAGCACCATTCTAGACCATCTCTGGCAGGTGTCTGTCCAACCTGCTCTTCATAATCTCCAGTGATGGAGATTCCACAACCCCCCTGGGCAATTTATTCCAGTGTTTCACCACCCTGGCAGTTAGGAAGTTTTTCCTAATGTCCAACCTAAACCTCCCTTGCTGCAATTTAAGCCCCTTGCTGCTCGCCCTGTCCTCAGAGGTTGAGAACAATTTTTCTCCCTCCTTGTAACACCCTTTTAGGTACTTGAAAGCTGTTACAATGTCCCTTCTCAGTCTTCTCCTTTCCAAACTAAACAAGCCCAATTCTTTCAGTCTTCCCTCATAGCTCATGTTTTCTAGACATCTAATCATTTTTGTTGCTGTTCTTTGGAACCTCTCCAATTTCTTCGCATTTTTCCTGAATGTGGTGGCCAGAATTGGACACAGTACTCCATCAGAGGACTAATCAGCGCAGAGTAGAAAGCTCCTTTATTCCCCCCCTGCAAGCACGTAAGGCAACTGATGATTCTCTGCTTGATAAATAAATGCCAAGTAATAACCTGTCCCACCTGATCCTAAGCACCCGGGGTCAAGGCCAAGATTCCCATGGACTTGAGGGAGTTTGGGCCCTTTCTGCACAGGACGCCTAACAATCCCAGCATTACTGCCACATGTCAGACAGGAGCTGCAGAGAGGATGCAGTAATGTTTAGCAACCTCATCCAGAGGCAGCTTCCTGCACCCACTGAATAATGCTCTAAGCTGGAGCCAGCTGGCCTGTGAGAGTGGGGGACTAGCCTGGCTTGCATTGGCTACGTTAGGAGCTTTCCTACACATGTGTCCTTGTGAACAGTTAAACAGAAAGAGTCACGTAACGCCATGAGTAAGAGGTGATGAAAGCCCTGGCACAGAATCCAGAGAGTTTCTGTTATGTGCCATCAGGGCTTCAATAACAGTTAAATGCCTGCTCTAAAACTTCATTACAGCAATTGCATTCAAATGCTTCAACAGTGAACATTGCTGCTTAATCTTCCAGCACTCAGAGGCACATTTGATTGGAAGGTAGATGGCACCTTGGGTTAATGAGCTAGCCCTTCGCCTCCAGAGACTCACAGTCAGATTTGTTTGAGCTCATACATGAAATGAACGTAGTGATCTTAGTCGAGTCGCCTGGTGGCGTTTGCACATATCATAAAAATCACCAGGTTGTTTAGTATACTTTGGCACAATTAGCCTGCTTTTCTTCTGAGACTGAAATAGCACAGTTCTGGATGTGGCTAAGTGGTTTGAGCAGAAGTTGGTGGGGGGCAGATGACTTGGGAACAACATAATTTGCTTAATAGTCCTTAATAGTGACCAATTTCAGACCGTTCCCCTTGAGAAACCATATGTGGTCATTACACAGTGTAAGCATTGTCCCGTGCATAGAATCATAGAATACTAGAAGTGAAAGGGACCTCAAGAGGTGATCATGTCCAATCCCCTGCCCTCACAGCAGGACCAAGCACCATCTAGATCATCCATGACAGGTGTCTGTCTAACCTGCTCTTAAATATCTCCAGTGATGGAGATTCCATAACCTCCCTAGGCAATTTATTCCAGTGTTTAATCACCCTGACCATCAGGAAGTTTCTCCTAATGTCCAACCTAACCCTCCCTTGCTGCAATTTAAGCCCATTGCTTCTTGTCCTATCCTCAGAGGCCAAGGAGAACAATTTTTCTCCCTCCTCCCTGTGACACCCTTTTAGGTTTTGTGTTGAAATTCACAGCTCTAATGATTTCCAGGAGAGAGAACCACGTCATTAATGAACTGCCCTAGAGTTGCACCCATCCCTGATTCTAAGGAATTTCTGATTTGGGGCCATATCACCCAACAATATGTTTTAGGACCATGCTTCTCTGTTGGATGCATGTTGGACTGCAAGCAGAGTAATTGCTTTCTCCCAGCCATTGATTTATTGGCTGTTCATATTTCTGCAGGTGGCAGGGATATTCCATGATGCCAGCATTGGAAACCCTATCCACATTGCAATCGTTCGGCTTATCCTGTTAGAAGATGATGAGGTAAAAAAGAAAACAACATGAGTAATACTTTGGGTTCATTTCCATCTTGGAAGCTCAGCCCGCTTCCACATGGCCAGTTGGGAAGTGGCCATGAAAGCCGTTAAACTCTCACTTCCATGCACATGTAACCCTGCACACAGGCTGGGGGTGGTGCACTGTCCCATGCAAAGGCACTGAAACCACTTACAGAGAGAATAAGGAGTCTGCTGGAAAGCCTTAGCTGAGTGCCAGCTGGCTTGTAGTTCACAGTGCTGCCTGCAGACAATGGGGACTGCTGCTGTTACACGTGGCCAGAAAGGTCCTGCACGGAATAAACACAAGCCCTAGAGCAGGGGTCTCCAACCTTGTTAAGCACAAGATCACTTTTTGAATTTAAGTGCAATCCAGGATCTACCTCAAACCAAATACCCCTGCCCCGCCTCCTTTGTGCCCCTTCTCCAAGGCCCCACACTGCACGCTCTGTCCTCCCTTTCACCAGGCAGGGACAGAGGGTTGGGGCACAAGTTCTGGTCTGGGCTAAGGGATTTGGAGTGTGAGGGGGGCTCTGAGTGGAGCCTGGGGCAGGGAGATGGGGTACAGGAGGGGGTTCAGGGCATAGGCTCTGTAAGGGAGTTTGAGTCCAGGGGGCTCAGGGCTAGGGCAGGAGCTTGAGGTGCAGGAGACGGTTCGTGACTGGGGCAGGTGTTCAGAGCTGGCTCCAGCTTGGCCCTGCTTACCTCAAGTGGCTCCTGGGTGGTGGTGCAGGGGGACTAAGGCAGGCTCACCTCTGCCCTGGCCCTGCCCCTGCCCTGCCCCACTCCCCAAAGCAGCCAGCAAACTCCCTCCAAGTCCAGTTGTGCCCCCTCTCTGCTCTGTGGAGACAGAATACAGAGTGGGAGAGGAGGCCCCCTGACACCAGTGCCCCCTCCTCTCCCTTCCCTGCACAGCAAGCAGGAGGCTCCTGAGGGGCAGCTCCAAGGCAAAGGGCAGGAGATGGGCAGCTGAGGGGCTGGCAGTCAGGATCCCCTGTCAGAGGCTCCAGGATCTACCGGTAGATCCTGATCTGCTAGTTGGTGACCACTGCCCTAGAGACTCGATGCAGGGACTGGCATGGAAGGGTGCAGTTCTTTCTGAAGCCAGCAGGAGTTCCACAGGCAGAGGTGTTATAGAGTCTGGGCCTCATGGGTGGTGGGTGAAGGTAGGGCTGGGGGAGGCAAGTCCCCAGCCTCGCCCCCAGCCCCACTCCTCTGCCCCAGCCCTGCCACCATGGGAGCCAAGCCACCCCCCCATACACACCATGAGAAGGTAGGTTGGTGCACGGCCCACCCCTGGAGCATAGGGAGGGTGGGCACCTGGGGGCAGCAACACTCCGCCCTCAGTATGCCTACAATAGGGCGGAGTGTGGGGCTAGGCTACTGGTTGGGGAGGCAATGCCTTCCCCTGCCTCGCATACCCGCCACCCTGCTGGCCTTATCTTGAGCTGTAATAACTCATAAAGGAGTCCCAGTAATTCATGAGGATTCCAAACAATATTCAAGCAGCATCCGACAGCCTAGGGGCACTGACCTTGCTTCCTCGGGCACCTGGACATGCTGTTGGCAGCATTTCCGTTACAGTTCGGGGATGCATGGCTCCAGCGTGACAGAGAAGTGACTGGGAGTGAGGGTGTTGCCCAGCAGATGTAGCTTTCTTTCTGACCCTCGGCTCCAGAGCTGGCTTAGTCCCATGGGAGCCTCCCAGCTAGCAGCACTGTACAATGACTGTGAAATGTTTTTGCTTCCCAGCTGCAGTTCTCAGTCTCAGCTAAACCTCCGGTTACTGAGCTGTTTGATCTGTTTCCCTCAGCAGTGTCCTTGTAAAAGATTCAGCAGCCTCAGAGGAAGAGTTAACTCCCTTCTCTAGACTGTCTCACATTCTGAGCTGATCGCAGTCGAGTGAAAGTACAAAAGACGTGGATTCTGATCTCAGCCATGTGGTGTAAATCTGGAGCACTTCCCTCTACGTCAGTATAGTTACATGGTGTCACTGAGATCAGATCCTGCCGCCAATGTCTCTAAGTGGCACAAAGGACTATAGCATGGCAGCAGACTTTCATTTACTTATATCGGCAGGAGGATTTGAAGATCACCCACCATGCGGACAACACCCTGAAGAGTTTTTGCAAATGGCAGAAAAGCATCAATGTGAAAGGAGACACCCACCCTTTGCATCATGATGTAGCTGTCTTGCTAACCAGGTACCCTGCTTTGTGCTTTATGCTTGCGCTAGCTCTCTGATTTCAGCTGGAAATACCTACAATGCCTATAATGCTGGGAGATAGAGACAGTAGGCTCAGGGTGGGGGCTATTTAAATGCAATTTCCTTATGTGGGTCGTCTTCTTCTTCTTCTTTTTTTTTTTTTTTGGACACACATGTAACCAGAGATGCAACCTGCTGTTTTCAGATTAGCCTATTCCTAAAATTGCTGCCAGCCTCAGAGTTCAGATCCAAATCTGGAAAATGGATTTGAATTTACCAGCATCCAGGGATGTTGAGATGCAAGATTTTGGGTTGACCTGTCTCCAGTTTCCTGCCTCCCATGGGGGATGTTCACTTGTATAAGCTTACAGGGTTGTTTTATGGATTGAGGCAGGAATTTGCAAAAGAGAAATTAGGAAGGTGCCTAATTTCTACTGAAAGCCTGTGGGATTTGGGCACCTGGATTCTTTAGTCTTCTTTGAAGATCCCCTCCCAAGAGTATTTTCCTTATGGGTAAGGAGTGCAGTCTCCTAGCTTTCAGCCACTGCAATCTGGCCTTTGGTTTCATCAGTCATTTCAGTAACTCCCAACTCATTCACAAGCACAGCATCTCCCCCCACACCTCATGTCTCCAGGAGACTTACCTTGCGATAGAAATAAGACACTGCAAGGCAGTAGCTGCCTCTGGGGTTATTGTTCTTCTGGTAACTGCAGTCACTTTGCAGCTGCCTCATGTCCTGTTCCTTAGTTATTCCCAACCCCAGCTGTACTTTTAAAGTGGCATTAATGCAACCAAGCTGCTTTTGAATTTAAATTAATCAGGTGCCTTAGTAAGGCTTGGGGAGCAAATGGACAAAGAGGGTCATAAATCTGTTACATTCAGATGTATCCTCGCTTTGTGTCTGTTTAGCCAATTAATATGTTGTCACCTTTCATATATGCGCAATGTATATTACTGATGGCTAGTTAGATCCTATGTTATGTCACAGGGGGAACACCAGCACCCCGTCAGCCATCCGCTGCAGATATAATTGCATTGTGCAATTTGTACCCATCAGGTACACAGCTGAGAGGGCCTACTATTTTGGAGTCCTTCCTACTCAGGGAGATGTTTATCATCCCCTAATCCATACAAACCTGGCATTGTTCCCAACATTCAGGGTTCCCTTTTCAACCTAATTGATAATCGCCCACTCCAGAGTTTTCAGATAATAGCTGTGCTCAGTTTTATTCTGACATTTTGGAATATGCTATGATTTCAACAGCTGATTTGTCCTGTGTGTCTGTTTTGTTTTTAACCCTAACTGCAAAAGGAAAGACATCTGTGCTGCCATGAACAGGCCATGTGAGACGCTGGGTCTCTCTCATGTATCGGGCATGTGTCAGCCTCACAGAAGCTGTAATATAAATGAGGATACAGGACTTCCCCTGGCTTTCACTGTGGCCCATGAACTCGGACACAGGTAATTTGTGTGTTTTAATTTCTTTTATGACCCCCATCCTGGAAAGATACACGACTCAGCTCTTAATTTTAAAAAGTGCAGGTGATACACAAAATGGGAAAATATCCATCTGTACTCAATCTTGCCTTACTTACACTGACTTCAGAAGGAGTTTTGCTTATGTGCAGAGTTTACCCTGTGGGGTTTGCTCAGAGGGTTTCATTTTTAGAACTTTATTATTATTTTCTGAGTTTAAACTGCCTCTGCACACTTCCAGGTGCCCCAGATCAGTTACATTTGTCTGTCAAATCCAGTGTGACTGAATCAGTGTATAGGACTTCAAGGCAAACTGAATGGTGTTCTGTAAGGCTATGTCTACACTACAAGGTCATTTTTGTGCAAAAACCAGTGAGCGTCCACTCCTCAAGCATGTTTTTGTGAAAAAAAAATACAGTAAATTGACAGGACAGAGGGCTTTTGCCGATAGAGTTATTCCTCTCCCCACGAGGCATAACTGCTTTTTGAGCTACAATTCTCACGCAAAAAGGCATGGTGGACGCTCCACAGGGGTTTCTTGTGCAAAAAGAGCCTATCAGAAAAAGCTTTCTTGCGCAAGAGCGTCCATGCAGTGTGGATGCTGTCTTGCGCAGAAGCACACCACTTTTGCGATGCGCTTTTGAGGTGTGAACACGCTTTTGTGCAAGAGGTTTTTGCGGAAGATCTCTTCCATAAAAAGCTTCTTGCACAAAAACCCTGCAGTGTAGTTAAAGCCTAAATAGGTTGGCCCAAGATCAAACTAGAATTTGTGAAACATTTTTAAAAAGGCTATTTCATTAGAAATTCTTCAAATTTAGTGTATTTATAGAATGGATGGCAAATGTTGGCCTGTTTAATGCAATTAACCTCTGGAAAGGTCTTTTACATATCAGATTAATACAGCTTCAGGAAACTATTCTGTATTCTAAATGTCTTCTATTATGTATAGCAACTTTCTGTCAGTTAGTGTATATTATCTGAAGTTTACTTAAATCAATTTTGTTTGGTAGTCTTATCTTTTCCTTGTTTGGGTTTGCAGACTACTTCAAAATTCTTCTACATTTACATAAAAAACTATCATGTATTAATATATTCACTGATTTGCATTGAACTTTGGATTCATTGATCCATTAATTAAATTTTGCTTTACATTTCCCCTTCTCCATTGGGTATGATATCAATTATACCAGATAGATTCTCTTATTTGCAGACAGTACTTCCACATTATTTCAGTTACATTTCCAGTGAATGCCTAGGAAATATACAGAAGTGAATAGTTTATCAAACTGGCAACTTTTAGACAGCCTTGACAGTTATCATAAACCACAGCCTTTAAATTAAGTAACACCATTTACTGCCTGCTTCGTTGGCCCTATCCACAACTTGATTCATTGTCTTTTCTATCGGCTGCCTCCAGGACCTTTCCATACTAGAGGTTGTTATTGCTGAAAGCGTGTAATAAATACAGTGCTAAGCTCCTGCATTTCAATGAGTGGGAAAGCAACAATAAAGGAATTATGAAGCTTGGAGTCTGTGCATTTGGAAAAGCACAAAATGAACCATGTGTGGGAACAAGGAGCAAGGCAGTGACTCCCCAAGGTTCAGACTGTGAACAGTACGTTCCTGTCCGCCAGCATACACAGTGATTATATGAGGCAAATATTTCTTCACGGAGAACAAATTGGACACGAGCTAATTTTCATTATCCTCCCTAGGCAGTTGGGCTGGGCCAGTCATTCTTGCACTGGATTCTCTGGGCCTCTTCTGGGCTCACTTGCACTGGATGTAGGCCAATGTAATTCAGTGGAAATACACTTGACTTACACCAGTGTGAGAGGAGCAGCAGGCCTCTGGCTTGGAAGGGCATAGGGTAGCAATGGGGCATTGTGTCATGCTGAGGAGATATGAGGCGATAGCCCCTTCCTTTTTGTTGGTGGGGAACATGTTCAGCCCCACCGAAGGGACTTACAGGGAGGCTTGGTGCTTTGGAAATATGTACCCTGTGCTTTTTGGGTTTTCATAGATCAGACTATAATGTTCAGCGGGGCCAACACTCACTGGGTCCCTGGGCAAGGGAGAGGTAGCTGGGGGTGGGGTCTCAGACAGAAGGGATGGGGCTGGGGCTAGCCACCCTCAGGCAGCTTTCAGTGCAGCATGTGGGGTTCTGGTGGCAATTTAAAGGGCCTGGGGTTCTGGCTTCCACAGTAGCAACAGTGGCAGTCAGGAGCCCTGGGGCTTTTTGAATTGCCAGGCCCTGGGGCAATTGTCCTCTCTGCTCCCCCGGTGGTGGGCCTGGTACTGTTTTAAGTACACGCTACCAGGTGGGATTCCACGCTGAGAGAGCCTTGTGGTCTTGCCAGTGTTGGCTGAGGACAGGTCTACACTAGATTTGGAAGACCAACTTAAGGTACTTAACTCCAGCTATGGAAATAACATAGCTAGAGTCAACATACCTGAAGCTGAGCTTGGTGCCGTCTTCACAGTGAGAGGTCGACAGGAGCAAATGCTCCCCTCCGCTTCTCTTACTCCTGGTGACTGTGAGAAATACTGGGGGTGCCCTCAGTAATCGATTTAGCAGGTCTTTAATAGACCTGCTAAATCAAACGCCAAAAGATCAATTTTCAGTGCCGCAAGTGGAGACGTGGCCTCAGCACCTAACTGCAAGAATGAGGCAATACTACAGAAAAGTTGCTGCAAGTACCTGCTGGAATGTTGTCTAACTTTGCGTAGCCTGCAGTCAATGCCCTTTGTGCAGACGCTTCTCAGGAGCATTTGTGCAAGTCCGTTTTCCTGGCAGCAAATTCACAGGAAGTGCCTCACAAAGTTGAATGCATGAGCAGTTGTGGAAGCCAACTGTTACATTCATACTGGTGGCTATCACATGCGATAGCCACATCGAGGAACAGAAACAATACCGTGTGCCTTATCCGCCCAATCATAACTAACCAAACATAGCTCAGCGACAGCAAGAATCAAATAGCTTTCTGTGAGCTTAAAAAATAACCCCATGCAAGCGTGTTCAATGTCAAAGAAGGAAACCTGAGGAAATGGCAACCTGCTCACAAGTATCGTACAATCAGGAAAAGGGGCTCATTGAATGATACAGTGTCTGTTGTGTATTATCCACTCGGCTCTGCTTATGAAATGTGCTGTCCTGTTCTCCACCCTGCCCTCACTGGACAGGCAGCAAACCCACCCCATGTCAGGGTTGCCAACTGAATCAGGCTATATCTCCTAGAGGTTTCCAGGTGATGCAGCAGGGCTAAGGCAGGCTTCCTGCCTGTCCTGGCACCACAACACTACTGGAAGTGGCCAGCAGGCATCCCTCTATGGGTCAGGGAAGCCTCCCGGAAAAGAGGATAAAGGTCTCCACATGCTGCCTTTGCCTCCTGTGCCAACTTTGCAGTTCCCATTGGCTGAGGACTACAGCCAATGGGAGCTGCAGGGATGGGTAATGCACAGAAACCTCCCTCCCTCCCCATGCCGCCCCCACCTAAGAGCCACTGTCAGAGGGATGTGCCGGTTGCTTTTGGGAGCAGCCTGAAGTAAGCACTGGCTGGCCAGGGCCTGTACCCTTCATCCCTCCTGCACCCACCCCTCTGCCCCAGCCCAGAGCCCACACCCATATTCCTTCCCAGAGCCTGCACCTCCTCCTGCACCCAAACCCCTTGCAAAGCCCTACAGCCTCACCTCCTTTCATACTCAGCCCTCTGCCCCTTTCCAGCACTTGCACCCCTCCCCCTACCTGTACTCCCACCTCCTGTCCCAGCCAAACTCACACCCAGATTCTCTCCCAGAGCCTGTGCCCTCACCCTCTCCTGTCCCCCCACCACCTTGCCCAACCCAGAGCCCACATCCAAATCCCTCCCAGAGTCCAGGGATCGCCATTCCCGGACACTGGGAGCTGCAGGAAGTGGCATGGACCAGGACACTGCTTCCTGCAGCTTCCATTGGCTGGGAATGGTGACCTGCAGCCAAGGGGAGCTGCGAGCAGCCGGAGCGCCAGAAGTGCAGGTGACTAGGGCTGCGGCTCACCAGGGACTAACCCTGGTGAACTAGATCTGGCCTGCAGGTCGGTTATTGCCCTCCACTGGTCTCGCTAATGCTTCTTCCTGCCATGAGTGCAGGGGACTGGACCAGAAGACCCCTTGAGAGCCCTTCTACCCTATGATTCTGTGTCTCCATGCCCTGCTCTAGCTGCTGGAGCTCGGCATCAAATCTAGAGAAAGGACAGTTATGGGGGGAGGGTCCCCGGATCCCCCAGATGCCCACTCCCCTCGCCGTATTGATTAGCTCTTGAGCTGTCAGTCGTGCATTAAGGCCCTCACTTCCCCAGAGCGCTGCAGATGCACCCAGGTGTCTCCACCCCACACAGCTCACAATCTAATCAGACAAGGCAGAGGGGAAATCGCTCACGTGGGGTCCCACAACAGATCAGTGGTGGAGCTGGGAGTAATTCACTGGTCTCCCGGTTCCCGCCCCTTTGAGCCAGGTGGCTTCCCACTGACAGTGATGTAACATTTACGGCATTGGATCCTGGCGGACAGGTAAAGTCTCTGTGCAGAGCTGGGGGGTGTTCAGAACAGCTTAATGGGGGGAAACTGTCCGAGGCCTTTGTACTGTTAGGCTTGATGTGACTGTGCTAAAGACAAAGCACCTGTGTGGTTGTCTCCAAGCCCGCGGCTCACCTCTCCTTTGTGGGACTGTGCTCTTACACAGTTTTGGGATTCAGCATGATGGAAGCGGCAATGACTGTGAGCCAGTTGGGAAAAGACCTTTCATCATGTCTCCACAGCTCCTGTATGACACCTCTCCACTCACCTGGTCCCGCTGCAGCAGGGAATACATCACCCGCTTCCTCGAGTAAGTCCCCCACCTTCTCTCCTTCCCTTCCTTCCATCGTGGGGCCAATGGCAGGGCTCGCCGGGCAGTGGGGAGCCAGGTGCCACAGTCAGAGGGGGCTGGATGAAATGGAGAGCTGGACTAGAGTGGCAGGCACGGGACACACATGAGTGCTCCTGCCTGGCTGCCTTGGGAGGGCCTGGGCTGCCTCAGGCATGGGTGGGAAGATCAAGGGCTTGAGAGTGGAAGGCAGGGGGAGCAACAGAATCAGCACTGCCCTGAGCGCGCCTCCCTTCCTCCCACCAGCCCTCAGCACTGCCCGGAGCGTGCCTCCCTTCCGCCCGCCCAGAGCGCGCCTCCCTTCCTCCCACCAGCCCTCAGCGCTACCTGGAGGGCGCCTCCCTTCCGCCCGCCCAGAGCGCGCCTCCTTTCCTCCCACCAGCCCTCAGCGCTGCCTGGAGCGCGCCTCCAGGGTTCTGGTGGCAATGTAAAGATTCCAGGGCTCCAGCTGCTGCCACTGCTGTGGTAGTGGTGACCTCACAGCCAGGAGCCCCAGGTCCTTTTGAATTGCCAGACTCCAGGGCAATTGTCCCCTGTGGCCCTGCATCAGCATGCCTGGTGGAAGGACAAGTGTCCCTCTAGGGATGAGATGCAGGTTTGCCTGGGAGGAAGAATTTTCTGGAGGAAGAACAGGTCTGAGTTGTGGCTGAGCTCGGGGCCTGGGTAGCTGTGATCCATCTACAGCAAGATCCACATGACATCAGGGCTTAGGGGTCGGCTGGTCCCATTCACTGAACTCTCCTGGTGAACGGTCTCAGGCGTTTGTGATCTGCATTGTCCCGCATTTTGGGTGCCTTCGGAGGGAACTGCAAGCGCTCCACTTGGAGGGTGGGGACCTGTTGGAATTGTCAGCTAATGGTGTTGATACTCTCGAACATGCATCACTTGAAATGTTTTCTTTGTCTTCAGCAAACCCTGGTGTCTGGCGTGCTCTCTGTGCCCAAGTGGTGACAAAGGGCTGAGATTTTCATACGGGGCCAATTTGCTGATTGAGTTAGACGACAGCATAAGGGAACTTTGGGAGCCAATCAGAGCAAACCTGATGACCCAGTCCTCTGAATGGCTGGTCCCCACTTTGAGGTGCAGACCTCAAATTCCCGCCATTCCCATTGGATCTTGGCATCTGACCAAATCAAGCCCTACGTGAATGTCGGGACATCCACAGGACTGAGCAGTAGAGCCCTTTGTGTTGGATTGGATGCTAGCAGCGGAATCCTGGCCCTATTGAGGTCAATGAGACTTTTGCCACTGACTTGGTTGGGACCAGGATTTCACTGTAGAGTTATTCCCCTCTCTTACTGCAAAGGCAGTATTGTAACACTGCCATGGATCTCCTTTCCGAGCATCCTCCTGCATTTTTCCCCACTATGACACATTATCAGTGACTGCTGCCCAGCCAGCGGGTCTACACTCCTTCTCGGGCTCTGGGGCCATGTAAAACCTCAGTTACAGTCTTGTCTACATTTCATTACCACTGGCTGTTAATCCCGACTGCTAAGGCATGTTATAAATCACCCCAAAGTTTTGGGATCACCTGTCCGTATATCACGTCACATCAGCGTGTGCCGCGTGTTACCCGGAAGAACCGGACGCACTCCGAAAGAAAATACATCCTTTGGGATGCACATGTTAGAGTGCTGCTCTCCGCTTAGCTCCCTAAGTCCCAAGCAATTTTCTCTGCTTAATCAATCGTCTGGATACTCCAGAGAGCGCAGCTGTCCCAGTGCCTGCCCAGGAATACTGGTTCTGTTCTCACTCACCAGAGAGTGTCTCTGGAGTGACTCCCCTTTCACACCCGTGCAAGTCAAAGGAGAGCCTGGCGCTGAGCATTGTCAGCAATTCCAGCCATAGGGAAACGTTGCGGGACCCACGCTTTGGTTCATGTGGTTTTCACGTTGCACTGGCTTTGTGGGGCAGTTTGGTGCCCAGCTGCCCATTGTACCTTTGAGACTCCCCCCTGGAACAGGCATGGAGGCGATTTACTCCCCCCAGCTCGATCAGCATGTGGCAGCCCAGTGTGCAGGGCAGCAGGTCCTTGTGCTGCCCAGGGAGCAGCCCTGCAGGCAGAGGATGATTTGAGAAGTCACAGGCTCCTGCCAACCTCCCTGCTGCTCTGGGGAGGGCTCAGGCTGTGCCTGGCTGCAGCAGGCCTGTCCGGACACATTGGCAGAGCCCGCTGCTGGGTGTGCGGGGGGTAGATTCGAGGCTCTGCCCAAGCAGCAGCACAGTGCAAGGGGAAAAGGAGACGCCTCTGTCGGACACATTCCACCCGCTTACTGCTTCCCTGGCACACAGCATGGGCAGCGAGCCAGGGCCAGACTAGCGCTGCAAGTAACAGAAACACAGTGCTTGTTATCTTGACTTCCGTGCCTCTCAGGAGGCATTCCCAGCACCTCTGCAAACGCAGTCCCTGGCTCGTCTCAGTGGCCCTTTCTGTGCTATTGAGACCTGGTATTCCATGGGCTGCAGCCCATCGCGAAACCTTACCTCGCCTGGCCTCTGCTCGGCCCGGAGTCACTTTCCAAGGCAGAGGAATTCTGTTTGTCTCCGGGCAGGAGATATTCCAAGCAGTAGCTATGGCAAGCCACATTCTTTTGTACGGCTGTTTATTTTTAGCACTGCTCGCTGACTCTTCAGTTTGGTATTGGGTTCTTGAGACCGATGCCTGGAGATTTGCATCCATCAGTGCCCGTGTACTGCTGGGCCATTTCTCTTCATTACTGCAGGGAGAGGGGAGGAATTGTAGCTGACTGCTGGTCTGCAGGGGGCTGGGCAGAAGGGCTGCGTTGCACTGGCATTGGGTGGAATGTGTCTGACAGAGGCGTCTCCTTTCCCCTTGCACTGCGCTGCTGCTTGGGCAGAGCCTGGAATCTACCCTCCACACACCCAGCTAGCTGTGTGCAGGGTGTGAGGGTTGGCCATGTGACTGATCCCTCATTTCAGATATTCAGTGCTAAATCAGCTGTGGTCTCCAAGGAGTGTATATTTTTAGCCTTCACTTTTAGAACAGGAATTTTCTGATCATCACCTTAAGCTGCACTTAGTGCCCCAAGAAAGAAATGGACCATCTGGGTGCATTTCCAGTTAATTTCTGTCTCTCTCCTCCCCCATGGAGGGCAGCTTTGCCTTCAAGGGGAGACGCCACTTCAGCAATAGTATTTTGTTGGTTGTGACGTCACTCTGGCAATAGAAAAGGGGATGGTGTGGCCACAGAAGTGTCTGTGTTGTTAGAACAATGTTGGCAAAAAAGTAGGAAGGAATAGGCCCAGAGTTTAGACCCTCATCACTGGGCTTGCTAGATTGGCCTGGGACAATCTTTACATTGAGAATTGCACTGTCCAATTTTCTAAAGAAGAGAGAAAGAAATCCATACAAGATTGGAACAACTGCAAACCATTAGTATCTTCCACAGAGAGCCGCCCCGGGTGTGCATTCATGTGACGGCACGGCTGACTCTGACCTCTCAGGACGTAAGGGGCTGAACGCTATCGGTTCACGTGGAGCTCAGCAGCATGCTAGCTCTGTGGCTAGATTTTTTTGGAAGTGCATAGCCTCATTTACAGCTAAGAAACCCATTGTGAGTCTGGAGGAGGCTCTAAATCTTATTACCCCCCCACTGCCCAGGGAGACTCTTCTTGGCTCAAGAAATAGCTCTATGACTTCCGGATGCCCAGGTCACTGGCACAAGTCCCAGTGAGGCTGGCTTTTGCCACACATTGTTCAAGCCGCCCTGGGAGGCGAGTCTGATAAGGGATCCTGCTGCTTAAATAACAGGCTTAGGGAGCAATAGGGCAAGTACCTTGTGCCTTCACAATCAAGTGCTTCTAGTTTGAGGTATTGAGTTCTTAGATTAAAGCATTAAAGGGGGACAGTCCTTTGTGCAAGTAGCAAACTGACTTTACTGGGCGGGGGGAACAACCTGTGCCCATTTCATATTCCATTTATGCCAGATTTCTCCCAGCCCTCTCACTGGCTAGTCCAAGAGAAGGCAAATCCGTGGGATGGGTGGCAGAACTCTTGGAGGTAGCGTGTTGGCCACTGGCCTGACGGGAGCCGCAGCTCAGTGACCCCCAGCGTGCTGGAGGAGTTTGGCTTTCAGAGACGAAGCACGAGCACAGGGAAAGGGACAGACACCAAGAACTTTGGCTATCCTAGTGCCGCTCCCTCTGTGTGATCTGAAAAGCAGGGGGCACTGAGGGGGTTCCATGTTGTGATGGCCTCTGGGGCATGATGGCCATCAGCTAGTCTGTCCTCTCCTCTGCCACAGCCCACCAACACCATGTGCATCCTAAATGCAAAGTATGCCAGCCCCCAGGAGACTAGCCTGCCATAGGCAGGAGGGGAGCTGAGAGCATCAAACACAAAAAGTCAGGAGTAGTTATTCTATGCCTTTTGTTTCAGTGAGCGAGAGGCCAAGCAACCACACACAGAGCCCTGGGGAGATCAAGGAGCAGGGCTTTGCCCTCGTTTCATGTCAGAGAGCTAACAAACCAGTCTCGAGGTACAGCAAGGCAGTGCCCGGGCATAGGTGACACTTGGCGTTGCATGGTGCAGAATGCATTATTTCCCTCGCAGTGAATGCCCTTTGGCTGTTTTCCCATGAGCTAGTAAACAAAATGGCTTTGGAGCTGCCAGGCAGGGAGTCTGCAGAACTCCGAATGAACGTAAAGCGCGCAGCAGGGATATACTCTCTGCTCTTGCGCCAGCCCAGTCCTCTAGGGCCCCCAGAGCCCCAGCCTTCTCAAGCACAGGCCACACGGCAGCGTGTCCTAGCCAGAGTGAAGCTTAGCTACACGAGACGGGGAAGAACCAAGGAATTTCCAACCAAAGGTCCATTTAAAAGTGCTGGGCACCTCTCCCCAAAGGAAAGTCGCTGTGAAGCTGCATGTGGAAAACTCCGTTTTCAGTCATCATGTTTCTGATGAGCCGCATGGGGGTGTGAAGCCAGCGCTCTAGGATAG